CGAGCCACAATTTGCCGGCCACTGGTCTATACAGTTTTTTTTTTTAATTTAATTTATTTTTTAATTGTTTTATTGCTTAAAGTATTACAAAGGGTATTATATACAGTTTTGTATATGCCCACAATCTTCTATCATGAGCTTTCATAATAAACATTTGTGTGATTCTTTAAGACTGTTCTGTCAGTTTTAAATGTGTAACAAATAATCACTGTATGCATGCACTCAGCAGTGAACCATTCAAATTTATAAAGCCTTTACATCTTATTCCACTAAGAGAAAGCTACCTAAAACTGATAGCCTACCTATAACCATAAAATTATTCATAAAGGAGACTTTCTCCACACCGTAAAAGAAAGACGTGGAAAAGAATCTCAATAAAATGGGATTTAACTCAACAACTAGGTTTGCTTTTAATTTAAAAAACAATAAAGCCAAGAAAATTTATCTGCAAGGCTTTTTCACTAAGAATACACAAAGGATTTTCAATGGCATTTTGGTAAAATTCAGAAAAGCAGGTGGACCATATACACATTTTCTGAGGTAGACCTAATCATTACCTCTCAGGATGAAAATCCAGTCAATGAGCACTGTGGAGTAAGTACTACTGTGAGGCTAATGAAAGTCATTCCAAATCTATGCCATTCATTCCCAGGGTACAATCCCCTAATATAATGAGTATTCATCACTAACTCCATGCCAGAATCCCCCATAGAGCAACCCTGACCTGGGCGACTCCTCTGGAGCCCCAAGTCACAAGTTAGAGAAGATGGTACAACCCCCCTAACTCTCCTCTAAGTGACCTCAATTGCCTTGGGATCATTACACATCCCTCCTACCCCCTCTACAGTCTTGAAAATAAAAACATTCCGGGTCATTTTTAGGGCTATTTCTTCCACTTTGGCTTCTGAGTTCATCTCATCCATCTCCTGCCATACTCTTTTTTCTTTTCATTTTCTCTTTCCTGTGAGCTGCTCCTAAGGAGCTAAAATCTCTATTCCTGGAAAAGAAAAACTAAACAGAGCCAAAAAAATCTTCGCTTTAGTCTTTCAAATATTACCAAATCTCCTCTCCTTCCTTTCCCTAAATTTATTGAAAAATTTCATCTTCTGTCTCAACCTTTGTAACCCACAGTTCCACTCGTGTCACGCTACTGGAATTTCTATTCTGATTGCTCCCAAATCTACATTTCTGGCCTGGATAGTTCTCTAAAGCCTTAGCCCCATTTTTAACTTGTCTCAAGTCCCCAAACCAAATTCCTCTTGCCTCTCTCTGTTCATGGAACATGGTTCTCCCACCTGCAACTCACAGCTCTTCTGCACCTCTATTTCTATATTGAGATAGGAAAATTACGGGTGATACAAAAAGTGCACAGTAGTCTTGGGGTTTTTCTGGTTACTGTGACTAAAAACAAGGCTCTAAGTTCACATAACTGATAACTGCTTTATACAACAGTTCATTTCCTATCCTGCCAATAGCATGTGAGGCACTGTCCTCCCACAGGCCTTTCACAAATTCTCAATGTCAAAGTACTAATGTACTTTGCTAAATGACATCCTTTTTGATAGTAGAGGTTGTGGTGGACAACTGCTAAGACAAAACCCACAACTACATCAGAAAAATGCTGTCCCCAAAACCAAAAACATGTCTTTAACACTATATGTGTGTGTGTGTGTGTGTGTGTGTGTGTGTGTATTCCATATTGACATTTCAATTTAAAAATATTTGTTTTTTGAAATTTATTTTATTCTCCCAAAATTCCAGACAAACCCCACTTAGCCATAAAATCCTAACATACTACTAGAAAAGTATAAATTCTTAGGAAACTGGCTGTGTTTATGTGCTACTTTCCACTAAACTTAGACCAGTGACACACCAACCTAAATAACAGGTGACTCTAACATGAACACTACAAACATTCAACCTTAGGGATCATAAGTAATGGTGCCCAGAATCCAATAAATGAACAGGCGTAGAAATGTCATCATCCTAAGGCCCTTATCAACAGCATTATTTAAACACTCTCCAGTTTTTTTATCAGGCGACAAGAAAGAAGCAAAATAAAGGCAAATCAAGTGTCTACCCACTGACATGCTTTCTACTTTCAATAAAATTTTTTTTATAATGACTAAACCCAAAGCAGAATATCTGTACTCAACTATACAGATATGTTTTTTGGATTGTTGCTCAAATTGGTGAATGATGTGATGTGAATAAAAAAAGTGACACATAAAACTCCAAAATAAAAGAACTTCCTCAACTTTACCCATCTATATGATTTAGCTGTTTGCTTCTCCCTGAAAAGAAATGACTGGAAGCATATGGTCCTCTCAAACACCATCATTGGGAGGGGTAAGAAGGCAGAACATTCAAGAAGGAGAAAAGATTTAAAAAGTAAGGTAGCCCAAGGCAGAAACATCATCTGCTGTAAGTATTGCTAATTCTGCTTTCCCTAATCTCTGCTGAAAAGAATACGGAGAAAGATATATTAGATCTCCTACTGCCATTCCAAGCCTTGCAAAAAGTCGGGGAGGAGAGAGAGGTTTTTAAAAAGCAGGCAGTAACTAGGAAAAAAAATGCTTGACTTGGAAAAAGTAGGTTTGAACAGGAACTTCCCCCTCCATCTTCACTGCCCCATTCTGCAAAACAACCTTGCTTTTACCATGGTCTCTAAGAAAAGGGATAGAAAAACACAAGGAAAAAATGGGGAGGAGAAAGCTGTAGGGAATGTACTGTTCTCCTTGCTTCACTCCCCATCACCCCAGTCCATTTTGGCAGTGCTTGCCCTCAGCCTCTGTCCCTACATTCCCTTGCCCTCATTATCAGAGCAAGATAATTCTGAAATCATTTCACTTTTCCGTGTATTTAACTTGATCCAATGTTGCAAAATGCAAATATGTCCAAAAGTATTATTTCACACTATTTTAGAATGCCAAAAATTCTAAGCACACTAGATTTCATGCATATGTGATATTAATGTTAAAGTTACTGCATGGGTTAAATAGGCTTCTGTGAGTTAGTCTAAGAAACTGTAAACAACCATTTATTATACTGGAGCCATTAACTCTGTTCCAAGTTTTAGCACTGGCTCCAAAAGAGTGTCCCTAGTTTTGCCTAACTCAGTTTTATGACCTTGAACTCAGTCTTTTCCCTCTGGGCCTCAGTTTACCAGCATTTCCTTTTCAATTATGTTGTACTGATGTTCTAGATGATTGCTTAACTATAGTACCCTGCTTCCAGATAACTTTCTTTTGGGTAAGAATCATGTTTTATACCAATACATTCCTTGTATCTGGTAGAAGCTCAGTAAATCTGTAGACTGATTTAAGAGATGGCCAGGAACATACAAAAGACATTAAAATGTGAAAGGATTTTTCATGCTCATATTATAAACTGCATCAGAAATCAAAACTAGACTCCTTAATTCAACTCCAGTATTTTCTATAGCTGAACTCCTCTCCTTTTTCTCCACACACCCTCCCAGGCCTTTGTGTATGTATCTCAAACATCCACCTATATCAAAGGTTGGGGCCACGTGTAAAACATCTTCAAATCCCCCACATTCCGTATAATACTTAAATGCTTGCTTTAGAGAATTCTCCAAAGTACTCTTTTCTAATAAAATTAGTTAAAGGACGCACCCCCTGAATAAATTTGTATTAAGCAAGCCTTTCCAAAGCCTCGTTCCATCCTTCCACCGGGGAGCAAATCAAGGCGTGTGCTACATGAAGGAATCTTCCAGATTTAAGCTTATACATTTTGGAAGGGCCTAAAGCGCGAAGGCAAAGAGTTCATAAAGGAGAGAGAAAAAAACTGTCTGGTTTCCTAGAGCTTCACTACAAAATGGGGGGTGGGGGGGAATATAGTTGTGAGACAGGTTAAAAATTGGGAAAAATCAGATAGCTTTAAAAGTGCCACCTTTCAAAAGATCCGGGGATTAATTTTGAGCCATCTGAAACCTGAAACCCACTTGTCAGAAATGGAAGGGGTTAAACGTTTGCGGGTGAAAGGAAACAGGGGAGCAGCTAAAAATCAAAGGTGGGGGTCTGGGATTCTCAGGGGACAGATCGGGGGAGGGAGAGAGAAGGAGGAGCAGCTACAATCAGAAGATGAATGGGGAGAGTAAAATGCCGGCCAAGGAAAATCGGGAGGGCAGGGGTGAAAAGCGGGAGGGGAAGCGAGAAGGGGCCCGGGCAAGCACACTAATCGCAGAGAAAGATGGGGGAGGGGCGAATGGAAGTGCAGACCCTGGGCGGAGCGCGAAGCTCGGGGGCGAACCAGAGGTCCCAGACTTGAGGCAGGGATGTGGGCAGTCAACCCTGTCCCCGGCCGCGGTTCATACCTGTTAGTGTGGAAGCGGAGGAGCGGGTCGGTACGATGGCAAGAGGACAGCTGGCAGCCGAAGTCACTGATGTCCAGGCAGCCCGGCTCCTCGCTCGGGCAGGTGCCCACCCCGCGAGGGGGTCCCAGAAGCGGGAAGGGTTCCTCAGGGGTCAGAAACTTCTCATACGAAGTGGTGGCCGACGCCTCGTCAGACATGGCTGGAGATGGCCGAGCGCGGGCTACCTCTCTGGTCCCGGTCTGCTCCCACGTCCGCCCCTGCCCCCACTCTAAACTGTCCGCCGTCGCCGCCGCGCCTGGGTGTGCCCGCCGCAGTTCAC